CCCCAAAACCCCAAAACCCCGCTTGTGTATTCTAAGATTAATTATTATGATCACTATTTTAAAAATGAATTTATTTAAAAATGTCTTGAAAAGAGCAAATCCATTCTCTAAAACAGCTAAAAATGTGCCTGACAAAAATGGATCTAAAGGTTTGATATAGTCAAGTGAATTCAAATCATACTTCAGATTAAGAATCTAAGATAGACCCATTATGTTGTATAGTAAATTTAAGCAAATATACAAGACTAACAAGCAAATTAGGAGATTCATACTCTTCACTTAATATGTCTTTGGTAAGATAACTATATTTTTACAGAATTATATTAGTTTTTGGCTTCATATTCTATATGATACCTGGTAATCAGATTCCTGGCTAATATTACATGCGCTTGTTGTATATTATGATGAGATAGAGGAGAGCTTTGAGATAATAATAACAGAATGATGTTGCTCATCTGGACATAATCAGATTTTACAGCTGGAAGTTTAACTATCTTGTGTAGAATGTAGGCATAATTCAATTACCAATAATTGCTTAATATGTTTAGAAAATGATAAACCCTGAATTCTTGGTAGAAGACATTCTAGGTCTTTGCAGAATCATCGATTAAGATTAGCTTGAAGAATCTGAAAATACAAATTAAATTATTTTAGAGTGTTTAGCCTACTTTAGCAATACATTCATTCCCGGAATATTGAAGAATGAAAAATTTTTGCCTTTCCTTAAGAAAAATTAACTTTAAACTGCCATTCTCAGCTTTCTTGATATTATTACTATCAAATGTAAGATTTCCTGGAAATTTTTCTTCTATTAGATGACCCTAAAAGTCAATACCAAATCTAATTAGAGAAGTTAGATAACGAATAGTTTTAATATGCTACAGCTATGATGACATAATTTGTGAATTTATCACTAGTTCTCTTGAAATATTCTGAGCAAAGCGATATTCGAATCAGAACACTGACATATCAAATTTACTGTGATTTTTTGACGAAGACTGAGAATAAATACGATATGGCTGATTCGTTTTCCAATGGAGAGGGTATCTAAGCCATTCTAACTGAGTATATAATCATTTTTATTTATATTTTTAGTTTGAACAATGATGAGTCTTAGGAATTGAAATATCAAGCTTTGAAGACACTTAGGCATTTGATGCAATAAGATCCATTAGTTTGTATCAAGTTTATGAAACTAAAAATTCTATCAAACTTGATTATACATACCCTACAAGATGATAGGTCTACTGAGGAAGAAATCATAAAGATAATATAATCATTTAAAGATAACTAGTTAAGGTAGAAACTTATTAAGGAATCATAGGATTTCAAAGAGGAATATAAGAGGCTTGAGGGGATAAGTAAGAAGGAGAAATGTGATTTTATAAAGATTAGTCCTGAGATGAAAAAGATATTGACTGAATGCTTGTAAATCTGATCTAGGTTCAAAATCTATAATTAAGGAATGATTTCACTTATGAAATTAAGATTAATTTTATAATTTTTTAAAACTCAATCATGATTTATAGTTTTATACATTTTATCAAAGTATATGGGTAGAGTGAGAGGTTATTAGATGCTTCTAAGATATTGGCGCATTATTTTTACTGGACATAATGGTTATATCATCCAGAGTGGCAAACTATGAATATTTGTCAACCACCTTAAGTGGAGTCTAGTAGGGTATGGTATTCAAACGATCCAAGTCCTTTAGTATATCCTTATTCATCAGCTCATTCCTAACATCTCCTTGATTTAAACTTATACGAGAAGCTGCTGTCTCTCTGTCTAAGAAGTCTGTAAGTACATCTTTGCTCTTTTAAGTCCTACTATCGATAGGCAGCAAATCATCTAATCTCTTAGTGTTTACTTGGTTAAGGTAATCAGCATCGAAAATCTTAATCTTTGTACTTTGCTTATCTAGAGAGTCTTTATCTCTTTCATTAATAAACTTTACACTTTTTGGTAGTCTGTCAAGAGTATCATACCTGGAGGTTGGCCTCTCAGGTAGTCTAAATTGCACTTTATCAATCCTAGGAAAGGTCGTGACCTCAGGCAAGAGCTAAGTACGCTTGTCAAGGAGTCCTTGCTTCTCATACATGTTATTCATTAACTGATGATATTCATATTTATGAGCTACATTTTCTGATACTTCTTAGTTCTTGAGCCTTTCCTTTAAGTGATCAATATTAGCAAGAACTTCGTATCTTTCTCGGTCTGCATCCGCTGCAGTCTTTTTCATGTTATTGAGCTTAATTTGCAAATCCAATTCATTCTTATTCATTTCACCCTTAATTCTCTCTACTTCTTTACCCACTTACTCCTAAACCTTATTCGCTACATCCATTGGTACCCACTTGCCGTTCTACCAAAAGCCTCTTTCTTTTCTCCAAGGGGCTTCTCTGTCTCCTTAGTTCCACAAATCATTATCTGGCCATCCTCCCTAAGGTGGGACAGGATATCTATCCCAATCCCTACCCCTCTAATTCTTCTAATACCAACCAGGTTTATTATCTTGAAGCCAGTAAGCTTCTACTGGCTCACTACCTTTTCTGAATCTCTTGTAGTTGTACTTATCTTCATCTACTCTATGCATCCTCTCCCTAAGATGCCTTGAGACTCTCTCAGACTCATCTACGAATCTGTCCCTTCTGTCCCAATTATAGTCATAAGGTTTGTTGTGAAGGTATCCTCTCTCTCGTCTTAATCTCTCCTCTTCAAGTTCATTTTCTATTCTCGATAGATTGTATTTTTCAACTCTTCTAAGTTTATTATCATCAATCTAGTTGAGTAAATCGCTTCTATACAAAGACTTTTTTAGTCTCTCAGCATCAGTGTAATCTCCTGTCAGTATGCCGTTCATTCCTCTACCACGAGAATAAGTTAACCCGAGTCTATCTACTGCAGTAGGATGTAGTCCTCTACCTAAAAGAAACTATTGCGAAAGTAAATTAGGATCTCTGTAGCCCTAGAAATTAGACAAATGCCCTCCAAGTTGTCCCATTAGAGGTACTGGTGCAATTGGCATTGGATTAACAAGCCCCATTAGTGGATTACTTTGAAATGTAGCTTGTCCTGGCTTTTGCAAAAATGGATTTAGATTGGGCATACTTTGAAAGGGTGATACACCTAATTGACCTAGTAAGGGCATTTGTAATTATTTCTGAGCAAGTAAGTTTCGAGTTGGTGCTTCATTTGCTAATTATTCTAGTTTTCCAAGTGCTCCACTTCTAAACATTTCATGATTATTAGTAAAAGATTTTATATATTAAGAGGTGTTATAATTACTTTCCGAATGGGGAGAAATTTTCTAAAGTATTAAGATGTTAAAAGTCTTGAGCTCGATCATTTTACTTTTCTAATTGTTTCTTAGCTTCATTTTGTGCAATTTAGTTTTGCAAAAATTAGCCATGATTGTTGCTGTTCTCTGTCATTACTAATTTATTTATAATTTACTTTAACTTTAATTTCATTTCGATTAAGGGGTTTTGGGGTTTTGGGGTTTTGGGGTTTTGGGG